TTATTTTATTATTGAGAGACAAAGTGAGACAGAGCATGAGCATGGGAGGGGCAGACAGAGGAGGAGACACAGAATCCCAAGCAGACTCCAGGCTCTGAGCTGTCAGCACAGAGTCCGACGCGGGGCTCAAACCCACCAACTGTGAGATCATGACCTGAGCCGAAGTCAGACTCCCAACCGACTGAGCCACCCAGGCGCCCCGGAATACTCTTCACTTTAAGGATCCTCTCATTCAGTCCCAGCTTGTCAGTTTGAGATTTTCCAAGGAGTGGCCAGCAAGGCTGTATTCCCACTCATCCATCCACAGACCTTGGGGCAAGAAAGTGTGGAAAGAGAAAGATAAAAGCCAGAGAGGCCTTTACCCCTCCTGCACAAAATCTGCAAGTTGGAAGGAACCTTAGATAATCCAGCCTCCCCTTTAACTTCCATGGAGAGCGAGAGGTTCAGGGATGAAGTAACTTACCCAAGATCCCAATGACCATGGGGCCAACCTGGGCCAGGAAGTCCGGGCTCCTCATTCTAGCTGAGCCCTCCTCTCTTCAGTAAGTGGCCTCGTTAATATTTTCTGGTCTCTCTTTCATTGTAGAAGTTGCTGAAACGTAACTGCTTCACAGTTACACAAAAGCAGTTTCTTTTGTGGGGCCAATGCAGAAGTGTTCAGTTTAGATTTGCTAGATGGCCTACATAGGGCATGAAGAAGCAGAGAACACTACAGAGAAACAGCCCAGATGTTCTTGGCACAGAGCAAATAAATACAACTGGGGGCCAACCCACCAAGGTGGCTTTTGGGGAAGACTAAAAAAATCAGAGTGAGTAGATAGAAAGTTAAGGGTTACTAAGCAGTACAGAGAATTGTGTCATGGGTATTAACTTCTTAAATGCTGTTCTGAATTAATTTTTAAAACCACGGGATGGTTAATGCTAGTGAATTTCAGCTCTGTTAACCAAATGATGTATTAAAAATATATATTTGTGAAAACGAAATGAGTAAGTAACACTATGCTGGACCTTACTGGTTGGTGTGAGTATAAGCCACTGGTTGGCACTTGCATGGGGAGGGTACAGTTTAAGCATCCCCTGGATACTCCCTCTATGATGCCTTCTCCAGATGAATTAGGTCAATGGTTCGCAGCTGGGATGAGCTCCCTGCCCCTCCCAGGGGACATTTGGACTTCGGGCAGCATCTAGAGACACTGTCAGTTGTCACAACTTGGGGAGAGGGATTGCTACCAGCATCCGGTGGGTTGAGGCCAGGGATGCTGTTGAGCACCGTGCGGTGCACTGGGCAGCCCCCTCCAACAACAAACAGCTGTCTGGCCCCAAACGTCAATAGTGCCGAGGTTGAGATCCCTGGATTCAGGGAAGCAGTGGACGTTTTCAGGAAAAACCCACTGGATGGCTTTGGTCAATAGCAACTATGTCTCCCTGGGGTTGCATTCCCTGTGACGCTGGAAAGGAGGACATAGGTCTTTGTTCTCCGTGATGTACAGCAACAACCAGAAAGCCATGAAGCTGCTGATTGCTGGGAGCAGGTAACTCAGAAATGACGATGAAACTGGCCGGCTTTCATTTGGTTTATCACTCAGGGACACGGAAGGATGGGTCTCTTTCATTATCTGCTGCAATTTTGCACACGGATGATTACATTGATAGATTTACCTTATGTGCAAGATGTGGTCCTGAGAAGTTGTCTGTTAAGTCATATTTGAAATATAGTCGGGAAATTCAGGAAACACCAAGGAGTCAGTGAATTCTTTTAAAGTGAAAGGTCCTTTTAAATAAAGTGCTATTCTCAAAGAGGAGCAAGCCTATATATTGCGTTGTTTAATGTAAATATTTCTCCTGCACGTTTTTCTTATAGAGCTCCATAACTTTTACGTAAGAAACTGTTTCTCTTCCTCCTTCCTTTTCCTGACCTTATTCTTTTCACTTAAAAGCAAATCAGGGGGAAAGTTAACAATAGGCTGTCTGAATTTGGGAAGGTCATTGACCAGTCTGTCCATTATACTGTTCCAAAGATGACTGCTGGGTTACAAATGGTTAGAAAATAGGACTTGGTTACATTCTGAAATCATTAATTTTTTATCTCAGACTTTTTTTCAGTTACTGACCTTTGGCTGGAAAGAGCAGGTGTACTCAGCCCCTCCATCACCCCATGGGTGTCTGCTGCACCGGAAATACCCAATAAGACTCACCCCTCCTCCCTTAAGTGGGGTGTGGGGGTGCCGGTATCAGCAGAGATAAGGGGGTGGTACTGAAGGAACCCAGCGGTTTTCCCCTTATCAATCACTGCCCTAGGGCAACATCCCTAGGTGTATAAATCACTAACTCAGCAGGGCAAAGGGGGCAGGAAGGAGGAAATTTATTTGATAAGGCTACCATTAGTGTCACTTCAGTGATAGGAGGGTATGGAAGTGTGACCCAGTGAGGACAAAGACACTGCCACTGGGGAAGAGCTGACCCAGACAAGAGGCACTAGGAGACCTGGGTCCAACCTTCATCCCACTGGAAAGAGGGAGGAGCCAAGGGCAGGGAGATGCTAGAGATGATTCTACCGGGTCGACCGTCCTGACCAGTGTGGCTCCAGCGTCAAGAAAGCAGGTCCTAGAGTCACCACGAAGGGTGGTGTCACACTCACCTGCTCTTTAGAGCACTTGCCATTGGAATATCCTTCCGTATACATTCACCCATTTCTGTTCCACAGAACTCCGTGAGTAGGAAGGAAAATGAGGAAACCAGAGCAGTGACTTGCCCAAGATCGCTCAAAGAAAAGGTTGTGATTTGAGCACAAGTCTTCTGATTGGAAGCCTTGCATCTCCCTCTAGGATGGCACATTCCCCCCACTCAGATGACGAGGCCTCGGTATGAGCTGTGGCTGGGCTGTCAGGAGTCCTGGATTCTAGTCTCAACTCTGTCTTTAACTCACTGTGTCCTCATGAGACAATCACTAGCCCTCTTAGAATCTCGGTTTTCTTATCTATGGCATGAGGGGGTTGATCAAGATGTCCTCACGTCACCGCGGGTGTTGTAGGTGTGGTCAGATTGAAATGAAGACTCTCAGGAAGGCAGCAGCAGCAGTCTTGGCTGTATTATTGAGCACCTACCACATGCCAGGAACTGTGCTAAATGCTTTATTACCTCATTTCAGCTTCACAACACTTCTACGAGGTGCATGTTAATGGAAACTCTACTTAGCAGATAAGGAAACCGAAGTTCAGAGAGATGAAGTGACTTGCTCAAGGTCATTGTCTTAGTCGGCTCAGGCTGTCATACAAAATACCACAGACTGGCTGGCTTAAACAACAGATATGTATTTCTCACAGTTCTGGAAGCCTGGAGTCCCAGATCCAGGTCCAGCAGGGTGTGGTTTCCGATGAGAGCTCCCTTCCTGGCTCACAGATGGCCACCTTCTTGCTGCCTTCCTCACACGGCCTTTCCTCTGGGTCCACACAGTGGGGGAGAAAGAGAGAGAGCTCTCTGGCATCTCTTCTTACAAGGACACGAATCCTATCAGATCAGGGCCCACCCTTATGACCTCATGTAACCTTGACTTCTTCCTGAAGACGCTATCTCCAAATGTGGTGACGCTGCGGGTTAGAGCTTCATCATAGGAATTCGGTCAGGGCGGTGGCAGGGAGGAGGTGCTGCACAATTCAGTCCATACAGCCGGAAAGTGATGTGAGGGTGGAATTTGAAGTCAAGCCATGTCACTCCTAGCCACCCCTGTGTTTTACTTGCCCAGAGAGCTGAGCTCGGGCAGAGACTGCTGCTACCGAGAGGTCCTGTCTTTTGGTCTCTGAGCAGCAGAGGAGTCTCCTGGGTACGAGGGTGGGTGGGTGGGTCCTTTCACCAAACTTTCTCAATCTGGACTGGTCCTGGGGCTAAGTCAGAGGCAGGCTAGGAAAGGGTGCCCCAAAGACCATCCTATGCCCAGGACTGAAGCCCAAGATACTAGAGAAAAAACAAAAGCAGCACAAACTGAGCCTTGAGGGCTGTTTCCTTCATAGTCCTCTTCGAACCTGGTCCAGTGCTGGGCCCCGCATTCACTGTTGCTGGTTGGACAGAACCACACGGGCCCGATGCCCTGGGCTCCTGAGATGAGGGAGCCGTTGCTTGTCAGGGCTGTGTGGAAGGGTGGGCGCTGAATCCACACTGGCAAGCCACCTCCTGGAGCAGCTACAGTTGTGCTTGACAGTTACTCATTATTAAAGACTTTGCAGGAAAAACAAGTCATTTGGACTCCTGTGCAGGCTTCCACTAAGCCAAACAACAAACTAGTCATCCACCTGGAATGCCTCCCCTCTATAAATTACAATATCTGCATGTTGCCTTCAAAAAAGACCCTCTTCTCCACTCTCTCGTGCTTTACTGTCCCCACTTGTGTTATAAAGATGGGCTTACAAAGGTGGGGGGGGGTCCCTGATTTTTAAAAAACTCAGAAGGACAGTAGACCAAAGGATATCATTCAGAAAAGTGTCGTTTGACCTTTCCAAACTGTCGGATGAAGGCAGGGAGTCACGGAGAACCACGCAGCCCACGTTAGCAGAAGTGGACAGCACCATTTTCACGGCTAAAACGCCGGGGCCGTCACTGGTATTCAGAGCACAGCATTCTGGTTCTCCGTCACTTCACCCCAGAGTTACTACCCACACTGCTGGCCCAGGGATAGGAAACTAACACACAGAGCTTCTAGAACTCTGTCCACTGTCACCACGATCACACAGTTGCTAGTTGACTGCTGACCCCCCTCCACTGTGAGCCATAAGCCTCGCCCCAGCTAGTTCTAATCAGAAAAAAAAAAAAATTCATTTTTCAAGGGAAATTCAACCTTGAGCATCTTGGAAAAGGGAAGAGCCCATTTCTGTGAGTCATCTCTCTCCCCGGTGGTGGGGCTAACCCGGAGTGAATGTACTCTGAGCTGCACAGAGGACTGGACTTCAGCTATTTGTGTCTTGCTCATCTCAGCCTGGTTCATCATCTCCCACGTTCGGCTTTTGCAGGTGTGAAAGCTGTGGAGCCGTTTTCCATTCTGAATGCAAAGAAAAGTCCGTCCCCTGCCCGAGGTGCGTCCGCCGAGAGCTGCAGAAGAAGCAGAAGTCTTTCTGGCGGAGGCTGAACGTGGACGAGAGCCTGGAGGAGGCCTGCAACATGTTTGAGCTGTCCTACCAGAACACCTGACTCAGCAGGGGCCCGAGGACAGGGACTAACCTCTCACCGATCCATCAGCCCGGCGGCCTCCTGACCAGCCAGTTAGGTCCCTTTGGAGGAAGAGTATGTCTCATCTTCAGCTAGATATAGATATATATTCACATACATATACACACATACCTAGACGTCCCGTATGTATGTTCTGTGTAAATCGCCGTCCAAAAGGTCCGTGAAGCCTCTGTGGCTCAAAGAAAATACCAGTAGCTGAATTAAACTTAGCCATGAATTTCAGCAGCTTGCTCCCAAGCAAAACCCTGGTTCTCACACGATGCTTTATATAGCCCAGATTTTTTTTTCCTTGTTTTGCTTTGTTTTGTCGTTTGGCTCTCGGGGGCCATCTTGTTACGCGGGACACAGGAGGAAGCATTTCCTACAGAAGCACAGAACTTCGGGTTGCGTTTGTGTTATTTATTTTGAGCCTTCACAGAGGATGCGGTGACCGAGGCAAGCCCTCGCCATCGCCTGTGTCACAAGAAAATCTTCAGAACACGGGGATAGATGACTCCGGGTCACCTCAGTTTCTGCCGTGCAGGTGGGGATCACCTCAGCTGAGCCGAGTGGCCCAGAAATGAGGAGTGTGAGCTCCCTCTGACAGAAAGCACGCACCCCTACTTTATGAGGAGAGCTCCTTCTGGTTTTGAAGTTAATCTCAGGGGTTTTTTTCCTGAGGAAAAAAGAAAAAAGAGACCTCGGCGACCAATAGCTGCTTGTTGTCGGTCTGTTTGCTGGTTCGAAGCCCAGCGCCACCTAAGGGTGCGACGCCCCAGCATATTTGGTTGAAAATGGCTTTCTGAAGGGCAGTTTTCCCAGGGTTTCGTGGGGAATATTTATGATTTTTTTTTTAATGGTGCTGGCCTGGGGAAATTTCCTACGATTGTGGTCAAACACATCGGTTTCTAGACTGTGGATATTGTACGTATATTCTGTGAGGTGGTGTTCAGTTTCTTTTCACAGAATCTTAGGTAGGCACGTCCTTCCTATTTATTTGAAATGCTTTATTTGTCATTGTTCTCCATTGCACTTTCACTTTGGCCTGTCAATTTAACCACATCTGCTTTCACACTTTTCAAATTGTTTACAAAATCAAAGTAACATGGGACTTCAAAACACCAACAGTAGACTATTAAGAAAATACCAAACTTATGAATACAATTAATGAACTAAATGTAATAGTATTGTTTAAATAGATACACACACACACACACACACACACACACAATTGCCACCTTGAAACAAAAATGCTAAAATCATATCCTAGGAATAGGAAATATAATGAATCGCTTCACCACTTAGCAGAGCCGTGGCCCCCGCCGCCATGCCGTGTGGGAGCCAGTAGAATAGTCGTGACCAAAATGTCAAGTAGGCCGGCACTGGAAATCATGGCTCCATTCTTTCCACCATAATCTTCCCAGAGCAGAAAGATACACTGATAATGAAGCAATTTTCAACAGGCCATAGGAGACGATTCTGTATGTTTTCCCCGAGCAGATGCCTCCAAGGCCCTCATAGTTGGGTAGTTTCACCGCTGTTGGGATCTGGAGAATCAGTGGCTCACAAAGTATAGGATACATTTCACCCCATTACTGCTTCGCCCCCACACCTTGCTCCCTCCAGATCCTAACTCTTGAAACCTCTGTCCGTGTAGAGGCGTGACATTCCGGACTGACTTTTGTGCCGACTGCTGGATGCAAACATTTCACCTCTCAACCCATGCCAGTTCCTTTGGCCCCGGACCATTCATTTCACCTTAATAGCTTCCCACCACACATGCCTGTATTTTCTGACTGCAGCAGCTGTAACCAAGGGCATAAAAACTTGTTAAAAGGCCAAGACCCCATTCACGAGACACCTTACGGTGCCTTTTACTCTTGGAAAAAACAGGTTGACTTCCCCCCGCCCCAACTCCGGTTATAGAGAACATTGCACACAAAAGATAAAGGGTGGAAAATCTCAAACAAGCACTTGGCAAACAGGCAAACAAATTTGATCCTCTCCTCCTTTTTCTTCCCCTTCGTGAAATACAGTATTTATATTTTCCAGCCTCAGAGAAGATAGCAGAACATGATCTTTCACAAGAGAATTATAGACCTGCTTATTATAAAACAGATGTGCTCCGATGGCAAAGTGCCTTTTCCCCTCCGCCCCCAGCTCCCCATCGCCGTAGTTTGCCTCTGCCTTCGCTGTAATTAACGTATCTGTGATCCCGCCTGTCAGCGAGGCCATCCCCAGCACAGTGCGTTGGGAGACCTGAAGCGCAGGCCCCCTTGCCCCCTCCAGCATGTTTGCTCTCTGTACAGAATTTCCTGTCCCACCTCCCAGGCA